TGTTTTGGAATAAATCACTGCTCAATCCCTATTTCTATTGAACAAAGAAATGGTGTTGCAGCTTTCCAGCAGCCCAGGCCCAGCCCTTGCCAATTGCTGCTGCTCGGAGCGTGGCTGGGTGGGTGACCCGTGCTGGGAATGGCACCTGTGGCTTCGGTCAGCGCTCACTGTCCTCCTGCCTGACTCTGCCTCTCAAGGGTGCTGGCCTTGGCATTGCTCCTCAGGAGAGCTGCACCTCATTCCTCCAAGAAACCCCCCAAAACAAAATCTATACAATGCTTTAGGATTTCTCAAGAGGCCTTTGCAAGGTGTGACTCTTTATGAGCTGTAAAAAGTAAATATTTGGATAGCATTTAGCAGACCAGACGGATCTATCTGGGGCTAAACCCCCATAAGGGAAAGAGCTGTGAGAAAAGAATAAATACAAGAAACACAAAGAGTTGGAAGAATGTACAAAAAAATCTTTTATTCAGCAAAATGTTCAAAAACAGGAGCAGCAAACAGTTTGGGGGGAGGGCTGTTGCTTGGCTTCTACAATAATACTTCTTCTGGCTGAAGTTTAAAAGACCAAAACTCTCTGTTAACCTTTATTTGGCAAGTGACAAACCCAGAAAGAACCATGTTAAACATGTAGGTTTCGTTTTGCTGTTAGAGGAATTCCAGTAAGTTTCATTTGGATGTGTGCGCTACAACACTAACCCATCTCAAACGTGTGTAGGTTTTGTTTTGCTGTCAGAGGAATCCTGGTAAGTTCCATTTGTAAATGTGTGTGAGAACACTACAAAGGCAGCCAGAGATGAGGGACCCAGCAGGAACTGATGAGAGCCCCGGGATGCTGTGAGAACAGCTGTGGGATGCCCGAGAGGACACACAGCAGCACAAGGGCAGAGCGAAGCTCTCCTGGATGCCACGGTCAGTGCGGGCTCAGAGGGCTCAGGTGAGGCTCCAGGAAATGCAGGAGCAGCCACACCACTGCCTGTGCTCCAGAGTCTGGCTCCACATCCCACCGTGGCCAACCCACTGCGCCAGTAACCTCCCAGTGAGCAATGCCTCCCCGTGCCAGGGACAGCAGCCAGAGCTGGGCACTGGGCAATGCCTCCCCGTGCCAGGGACCTGCTCCGCTGCTGGGAGAGGAATGGGACACAGCAAAACCATCCCCGACTGGCACTGGGCTTGTGGCAACCTCTGTGCAAGCGCCTGGGCTGAGAGTGAGGAACGTGTGTCGTGGCTGCTGTGCAAACCCCGCACAGCCCCAGGCACGAGGGGACGGCGCTGGCTGCACCTGCGTTATCCGAAACGCTCGGGAGGGAAGGACGGGGAAGGGTTATTGTTCCCATTGTGCACCAAATCTTTGTTCCCATTGTGCACCAAATCTTTACTGAAAGGGTGGGCGGGCATCAGCAGGGGCTGCCCAGGGAGGGCTCGGTGCCCATCCCTGCAGGTGTCCCCTGGAGGTGGCACCCAGAGCTCAGAGCTGGGGACAAGGTGGGCACGGGCACAGCTGGGACTCCATGGGCTGGGAGGGCTTTTCCAGCCTCAGGGGTTCTGTTACTCTATGAATGCAGCTGACATAGCTGAAGATGATTATCAGTGTGAACTTCTCTTATTGCTCAAGAAACTTTGGGCACAGGCCCTTCAGCAAGCTCTGTGCTGCTCAGAGAAGCCGCCCCATTGAGCTGGTGCCAGCAGTGCCTCCCTGAGAGCCCCTGGGTTATTGCTGGGTTATTGTCTGGCTGTGTCTCTTACATTGCTACAGAGATGCCCGCAAGCTGTCCAGGCACCACCTTCCTGGGGATTACATTCTGGTTCTCTCAGAGTGCTCAGTGGTACAGGAAAATGGGCTGCTGAGATACTGTGGAGGTGCTGCAGAGGCAGTGCAGATTCCTGCTGTTCCAGGAGGGGATTTGTGAGTTCTGTGTGTACCATCCCTTTTCCTTAGGATCCCTTTTCCTGTGTACTTTGTCACTGAGGGTGACAAACACTGACACAGCTGCCCAGGGCAGTGAGGGTGCAAACTTCACTGTTTGCTCTTTCCCCACCTGCCCCAATGTTGTTTGTTTGGAGGGGGATGAGAGCTGCTCCCCTGGCCTCACCTCACTGCAGGAGCTGCACGAGGCACCCACGGGCTGTCCCTGCCAAAGAACAGCAGCAGCAGCATCTAACTTCTTGAGCAGTGGAAGAGACAGAGCCTCACTGAAGGCACCAGCCTGTGATGTCCTTTCTGCCCTGATTTACTCCTGTACGCTCAGCATGAAGTAAATCACATCCTACCCACTGCCAAAGGCACAGAACGGTCAGAAGGGACCAGCCCTTGCCATGGGCACCGTCACCAGACCAGTGCTCCACCCAGCCTGGCCGTGAACATTTCCAGGGATGGGGCAGCCACAACCTCTTGGGACAACCTGTTCCAGTGCCTCACCGCCCTCAAAGTGTGCCTTGTCCCTCCTGTAAATCACCCTGGCTGTAAACGCAGAACAGAAACATCCAAATAGTTTCAAGCACACTGGGAAACATCGTGGTGCATCTAGAAATTGTTTTTGAATAACAAATTCAGTATTTTATTTATTTGTTTTAAAGCAATGTTTTCAGTGCGTAGCATGGACTGGTACTTGTTGGGGTAAGGGACATCCACTCCAGGAAACACAAAGAATCTTCTCATCTGTGTCACAGACCTGATCAAATGCAGCATTTCAAAAAAGAGTTTTAAATAAAAGAAATGGCATTGTAATGGTTATAGAGAACAGTCCATGTCTCTATGGACTCCATATCCAATGTAACAGCAGTAACAACATTTCCTGGTTGCCTCCCTCACCGCTGGTCTCTGCCCTCCTCCAGAGACAGAACAGGCAGCACGCGTGTGCCGGCTGTGAACTGTGCATCACCTGGAACTTCCATGTTAAACTCATCAGGGGCAGCTGCCCAGAACCACAGCACAAGGCTCTAAATACAAATGGCACTGCAGCTGTGGGACACTGAGATGGGAGCTTCACGCTGAGGGGAAATCTCGACAGCTCATAGCACCAATCATTAGTGATGGTTAAAGATATTTAGGCTCCGTATCTAAGCCAAACCCGCAGAACATTTCCCCCTCATTCTTGCAAAGCTCCTTAGTAAAAACTAACCTGATTCTTGAGCTCTCTTGTTCAATCTTAGCATTCAAGGCAGGCACCAAGACTGGAAACACTCAGACTACACTGTCTGGGTTTTAAGTACTGGGGAAGGAGTGACAGGGAACTCGAGGCAGCCTGGGCCAGCAGCGGTGTTTTCCCTACAGTGACACACCGACCAGCTCCCACCGGCCTTCCAGCTCTGGGTGGGGAGGAAGGGAAGGATCTGACCTGCATCTGACCCTTGAGTCCGTGGGACTCAGTTCAGGGTCAGAGCTGGGACTGCTGGAGCTGCTGCAGCCACAGCCCCTGCTCACTGAACAGATGCAAAGCGGCATTTTCATCCTTCTCCCATTTCCCCACCATTATACTGTGCCACCCCCTCTGAGAGTTATCCTGCGCAGCAGATGAAAGAAAGCATCAGCTCTGCAGCACCCACTGAGGTTTAACATTCACGTCAGGACACAGAACTCAGCCCTCACCTTTTATGAGTGCTTTACTCACTGCTCATTTCCCCATTGCTACAGGCAAAGTTTCATATTCAAACGGATTTGCCCAGTTATTTTGCTCCCACATAGCGCAGGTATGGATCTCGCTCATCCAAATTTAACGAGCACCAAAGTATCAGCCCCGCACAATTTGCCTTGCAAACCAGCTCACGTCCGCTCTAGCCCTCTCCTGCATCTTCCATCACGTCTGTACAGGCTCCTGCAGCAGCCCAGGCCGCCCATCCGGGCCGCTCCCGTCCCCCCGGCTCCTCCGAGGGCGTGTGGGATGTTCTGTCCGCCCTGCGCTTCCCCGCAGCTGCTGCTCTCAGCTGCCGCCGCACCTCACCCACTGCAGCGTTCCTCGCTTTCGGAAACAGCTCCCACGATAACCCCTGGCTGGCCGAAGCAGGCTCTCGGGAACTCCTCTGAACATGCTTTGTGTGTGCTGTGGTTCTTTACGCTCCTGTTCCTGAGCTTTTACCCTCTCCTGTGTGTGCAGAAGGTGAGGGGCTCACAGCCCCCAGCCCGGGCTGTGGGACACCGCTCTGCCCGTGTGCAGCTCTGATGCTCTCACACTGCAGAGCTGCCTCTGCCACTCGGCAGAGTCCCTGCACATCGCGGCGGCGATTGCTCGCTGCGTTATTCTCGTTCTGGCTTCCTGTTCTTGAGCACTGCCAAACGTTTCACCTGGATGCCCCAGGGCCCGGGATCCCTCTCCAGCTGGTGTAACCTGACACGGCTCCCTCCAGCACACCCTGCCTCTGATGTAATCGCTGCCGGCCGAGCGCTGTAAGACTGCGCCAAAAACACAACAGCAGCAAAAGTTCCTTCCCCGATTTATTTTCTTTCCCCCTGTCTGTGGATATATCACGGTACACCAGGGTGGTGTATTGGATCAGCTCGCTTTCGACAGCTCTGATAGCTGCATCCATGTAAGATCACTGTATCTACAGTGCAACTTTACGCAGTTGTCTCAGGAGCTGCCCAAAACCCTGCAGCAGACTTTCCAGAGAAGTCCAACACTGTTCTCTGTTTCTGCATTGCATCTATCTATGTGCCACAGGTCACTGGAGGTCAGCAAGTATCCCGTGGATGAAGCAGAATTCCAGAATTTCAATATCCTTTTCATTTAACTGTATATTTAATTTGCACCTTCTGGCAAGGAAGGCCGGTGCTCCGGATCTGGCAGGGCGTTTGCCATTCCAGCCGCATCCCTGCCCGATAGTTGGCCACAGAGGAGCCTGGAGAGGACTGTCCCCTCAGCCCGGCGTCACCCGCGCCCTGCCCACGCTGCCCAGCTCGGGCCCGGGGCTCCGCGCCGTGTGTCCCCGTCCCCGAGCAGCGAGACCCGGGCACAGCAGCCGTGACCGATCTGTCACTTTTCGGGTTCCTTTGGCAAAGTTACCGGGCACGTTTGTTCCGCCGCGGGGGCTGCCGTGAGCTGCGGAGGGCTCCGGGGCACCAGCGGGCTCCGCACGTACCGCGGCCCTCGGCGGGGTGCGCGCTCCCGGGGCGAGCGGCGGGACGCTCCTCCAGCATCACCCGCCAGCTCGCCGGCCCCTCGCGACAGAGCCTATCGCGACACGCGCCGGGCCCCTCCGGTACCGGTACCGCTTCCCGCGAGCCGCGCTCGGGCGGTGCCACCGCCGGGGCCAACAACGGCTCATCTCATTCCGTCCCCGGGGACGGACCCCGCTCGCCGAAGGGACCGCCGGGCCGGGGGAGCCGCTCCCCGCGGGAGGCAGCGCCCGCCCCGCCGCGTTCCGAGCCCCGGTACCGGGCGGGCGGCCCCGCTGCGCGCAGGTGGGGCGGCCCCGGCCCCGCCCGGTCCCCGGGGAGCCGCCCCCGCCGAGCGGCGCCCGCCGGGTCCCCCGGGCCGCGCTCTCCGCCGCGGGCCCCGCCGGGCCGCGGGACGGCGCCGCCGGGCGTGCGCGCGCCCGCCGCGGGTGGCGTTGCCCTTTTAAGAGCGGCGCGAGGCGGCGGTGACGTCGCGCGCGCAGAGCGCTAGCCCGGCGCGCCCGCCCGCCCGCACAGCCGGGAGCGGCGGCGGCACCGCGGAGCGCCCGGACCCGCCCCGGCCAGCGGCCACCGGCCCCGCCGAGCCCCGCACGGCCCGCACCGCACCGCGCAGCCCCGCCGGCACCGCCGCCCTGCCATGCGCCGCGGCCCGGCGCCAGCCTCCGCCGGCGGGAGCCGTCCCGGCAGCAGCAGCAGCAGCGCGGCGGCGGGCGAGCGCTGAGCCGCGGCCCCGCAGGGCGCGGATGTTCGTGGGCTGCCCGCGCCGGGAGCTCTCGCTGCGCTGACGGGGCGGGCCCGGCGCCCCGCTCGCCGCAGCGCCCCGCGCCCGCCCCCGGGCTCCCCGCAGCGCCGCCGCTCCCGGCCGCGCTTCCGCCCGCGCCATGGCGGGGAAGGCGGCCGCGGCCGGCGCCGGGGTGCTCCTGGTCACCGCCAACGTCGGCTCCCTCTTCGACGACGTAAGTACCGCGGGCACCGGGGCGAGCGGGGGTTCGCGGGCCGCCGGTCGCTGCGCCGCCCGCCCCCCGCGCTGCCGCTGCCGCCCTGAGCGCGGGTGCCGGCGGCGCTGGGGGCCCGTCCGGCCGAGCCCCGGCGCCTCCCGGGCTGGGACGGCTCTGCCGGAGCGCGGGGCGGCGGCGCGGCCGCAGAGCGCCGGGGGAAGGGGGCGCCGCTGCCGCGTCCCCGTGCCCGGGGCGGTCCCGTGTGGCACCGCCCGCAGCGCCCGGGCCCTCCGGGGCGCGGCTGAGACCCCGAAGCGCCTTGCCCGCCGCCGGGCACAGTGGGGCACCAAAATGCAGCGGAATTTCTGCTCGGCGCGGTGACGGGGCAGAGCTCCGGAACGCTTCTCATCCCTGCCGATAAGGCGAGAGCCGCAGCTGGCACGGGCGAGCGGGGCGAGGAACGCTCGGTTCCGCTCGGTTCGGTGCTGAGTGAAGGCAGATGCTGCTGCCCATCGCTGGGCTCCCGCACCCCGGGCGCTGCTGAGAGCCGCTGGAGCCGGTAGCAAAGCCCGTCTGTGCCCGAGCAGTGCGGACATGTCCCACAGAGCGAGGGGAGCGCTCCCGGGGCTTTGCTAGTTATAAAGTAATACACCCTGGCAGAGAATTGGGTCCAGGCTCGCGCTGTGTGTTGTTCTTGCTGTGTGTTAGGAGGGGCTTTGCTCTAAGCCTGATGCGCAGAGCCCCGAGGTGCCCTAACCCAGGGAGTTTTTTTGTCTTGTCTTCAAAGTCCACTTAGCTTTTTCGTCACTTTAAAGGCTTTTCTGGCGTTCAGACTTTGATTGTAACTGCTGCAGTCAAAGGATGCAGTTCACCTTTTCTTCAATTTAAATGGACTTTTACTGTTATTACCACAGTTAATTTTACACTTAGGCGTGCCGCTTCGTATTAATATAACGTTGTGAAATGTTCATTTCATAGTGATTGCCGTGGCTGTGGCCTTGGGCATACGCGGCCTCTGCGTGTGAGTGATGCTGCTGTGTTCAGCAGGTGGTTCCTGCCTTTTTCCTCCTCCGTGGCTGGAGCCGAGGGGTGACACCTCTGTGTGCTGTCCATGAGCCGTGTGACTCGCCGTGCTCCTGGGCAGGGGCGTGAGCCGTGTCCCACGCTCGGGGGCCGTGTCCTGCTCGGGGCAGTGTCCCCGCAGGCTCCCCAGCTGTCCCCCGCTCGGGGCAGTGTCCCACTCGGGGCCGTGTCCCCCGCAGGCTCCCCGGCTGTCAGACCCAGCCCTTTCCTGCCCGTTCCCGGTGGGTTTCGGGGCTCCGGGTGCTCCTGGGGCGCGCTTGCTGGGCGGTGTTCGCTGTACGGGGGGAACACGCTCCAGCTCTAGCCAGCTACTGCCTTGCCGTCAGCAACTGAGCTTTCTGCAGCAGCGAAACCAGCCTTGTTTGGGTCGGTTCCACTGCAGGGTGGGACATGGAAAGACTGCTCTGGACGCCTGTGGTTGTGGTCCTGGCATGTGGCTGTTGGAGCTGGGACTGCTGGCTGCCTGCCGGGCTTCTGGAGTTACATCAGTGCAGTTTGGGTGCAGGAAAGGTGACACGAGCTGGGTTTGGGGGCTTGGCTCTTGAGTTGTGTGTGGGAGCTGTCGGCGGCTGCTCCTGCTTGCTGGGCCCTTCCCGTGCAGTCGAGGAATATGTTCCTCTGCTGTGACCTGGAATGGTTTCAGTCCTGAACAAGGACTTGCTTTGATGGACTGTGCCAGAGCTGGGCTGGAAAACCACTTCCCATTCCTGTAACTGATGTTTTCTATTTCTGATTTCAATGGGTGAAATGTATTTTAATTTAACGCTGCACTGTTAGTGAGGTGTAGCCTGAGCTCCAGGCTGGGTAACAGCGTGTGCTGTTGCAGGGCAGTGCAGGGGTGCTGGAGATGGGGTGGCCAGGCCGGGCACCCTGCAGTCACCCACTCCTGTGGCCCTGTGCTGGGCTCGCATCTGCGGTGGCCGGAGCCCTCTGGGGAAGGCATTATTCCCTCTGGGGAAGGCATTATTCCCTCTGGGGGAGAGTTATTCCCTCTGGGGAGCATTGTTCCCGTGGAGCTCCGGGGCAGGTGCCCGTGTGCAAGGCTGCTGCTGGGCTTTGCTGGGCTCCTGTCTGCAGTGGCCAGAGCCCTCTGGGGGAGGCGTTGTTCCCTCTGGGAAGCGTTGTTCCCTCTGGGGGAGGCGTTGTTCCCTCTGGGAAGCGTTACTCCCTCTGGGAAGCGTTATTCCCGTGGAGCTCCTGTGTGTGTGCGAGGCTGCCGGGGCAGGCTGGGTCTGGGCAGGGGGCTCTGGTGCTGGGGGGTCTCCTGCTCCCTCCCACCCAGCAAACCCAGATGGCTCTGACGGGGCTGCCCTGTCTCCCTGGGTTTGCACTTCAGGTGTGTTTTGTGTGAGCACTGTTTGCCTGTGTGTGCAAATGCTCTTGAGATCAGCATTTCATAGCTCAAAATACCTTTGGCAGGCAGGTTGGCCTGGGTGGGACAGTCTTTCCTAGATCAGGAAAAGCTGACCTGCCTGTGCTTTTGCAAAGAGGGGAAATCGCTTTTTTTGCTCTCTGGCTGCCAGAAGCAGGTCAGGATAACATATGAGTTTGCTCCTGCCAGCCATCCCCATCCACTAATTACCTGTTGCAGTGGTGACCTGGGAGCTCATGAATAAACATGGCAAAGTGAAGAGGGACTGAGCTGGGTTCATTTCATTCCTCTAGCAGTTTTGCTGCTTCGTTAAAAATATTAATGGCATATTAGATTTTCAAATATTCTTCCAAGTTACATGAACGTGTGCATTTCATGAATATGAATGTGTATGATTTTTGGTGCCTTTGTGTTTAGCTAAGCATTTAATGCTTTTCTTGCTGTAGAATAATTTCCTGGCTTTATCACAGTATACCCAGTAACAAAAGATGGAGTTCACACTAGCCATGAGTCACTCTTTCTCTTTTCCCCCTCCTCAGATGCCCCTGCCTATGGCAGGGGATGCAATTAGATGATCTTTAAAAGTCCCTCCCTGTGATCCCATCCTCTCTCTCCCTGATTCCTTGCTTCCTTTGCTTCCTCTGTCTGCACTGACAGAATTTCACATGTCTCAGGTGACTCTGACCATCTGTGTTGGTTAAGTGTCTCCATGCAGGTCTTTAGGGAAGGGATTTCCAAGATGCCCAGCAGACTTAGCTGTACAGGTTCTGACATTTCTCCCCAGGTTGGAAAATAGTTCATTTGTTCCAGTTGTCTGGAATTGCAGTGTATGAGCCTAAATCAGGTCAGAGCTTGCCAAACCCTTCCATCTTCATGCACTGGATGTATGTAATCCTTAAATTCTCAGGACAGGTTTAGTCAGAATAGATGTGCAATGATGACGAGGTAGGTAAAAATTAACCAGAACATGTTATTTTAATAGCTTAAAAGAGAAGGAGGGGAGAAGCGTGCCAGGGAATTGCTGAATGGTGCTGATACCCAGAACTCTGAAGGACTGACAGCATCACTGCCCTACCTGAGCCCCTGTCCTCTTTGTCCCTGTACAACACTGGCCTTCATGTGGCAGTGCCATGGTGGGGCAGTGAGCTCTGACACTGCAAGGTGGCCTTCACCTATCCACATTTGGGTGAACGTGTCCCTTTTGCTTAAAGTACACAAAGAGAGCAGGGATGGAACTTCCTGCTTCAAGCCCTGTTTGTGGTATTATTATAAATAAACTTATTCTTTAATTCTGAGTATGAACTTGAAGTATTCTTTACTTCTGAACTTGAAGTATTCTTTACTTCTGTTAGAAGCTGAAGTCTATCAATTGGATTTGAAATAGAAATAGTTCCCATAATAATTTTTTAGAACAGCCTGGCCTTCTGATGGGTGGTGATCACAGTGTAGTCCCTCTTTATCATGTCTGATCCTAATTTTTTGATTCTGAAGCAGTGGGTGTGGGTTTGTTTTGGTATTGGACATCTGTGTATTTAGCTGCTGATAACTATAAAAGGTTTTTTGGCTTTCTTTTTAGGTTTTTTTTTCTTTCCCCAATGAATAATTATTTGAATTTTGTGGAACGTTTCAAATGTTTCAGGATGGGAAATGTATTTGTTTGGTTTTGATTTCTAAATAAGCATCAAGAGCAGCATGTTGCAATTCGAGGCGCCCTCCCTTCAAACCAGAGCTGTGAGGTTGAGTGAAAGGTGGAGTTTGATTCATTGTGACTTTTTACAAGAAACTCGTTATTCCACTGCTGACCCCTCAGGGTCGGGTGGGGCAGCGTTGGTGCTAGCTGGAGTGGAAGATGAGACTGGCCCAGCAGGTGAGGGTGGTGTTTCTGTGGGGTGCCCCAGGTGAGGGTGGTGTTTCTGTGTGATGCCCCAGGTGAGGGTGATGTTTCTGTGGGATGTTTCTGTTCCCCAGGTGTGAGCTGGGCTGGCAGGGAGGCCCTGGGGAGCCTGGGTGGCTGCTCTGGCCGGGTGAGGGTGGTGTTTCTGTGGGACACCCCAGGTGAGGGTGATGTTTCTCCCAGGTGAGGGTGGTGTTTCTGTGGGATGCCCCAGGTGAGGGTGGTGTTTCTGTGGGGTGCCCCAGGTGAGGGTGGTGTTTCTGTGGGACGCCCCAGGTGAGGGTGGTGTTTCTGTGGGACGCCCCAGGTGAGGGTGGTGTTTCTGTGGGATGCCCCAGGTGAGGGTGTTGTTTCTGTGGGATGCCCCAGGTGAGGGTGGTGTTTCTGTGGGGTGCCCCAGGTGAGGGTGGTGTTTCTCCCAGGTGAGGGTGATGTTTCTGTGGGGTGCCCCAGGTGAGGGTGGTGTTTCTGTGGGGTGCCCCAGGTAAGGGTGGTGTTTCTGTGGGATGCCGCAGTTTGGGGCATTCCCCAGGTGTGAGCTGGGCTGGCTGGAGGCACTGGGGAACCCGGGTGGCTGCTCTGGCCGGGTGAGGGTGGTGTTTCTGTGGGATGCCCCAGGTGAGGGTGGTGTTTCTGTGGGGTGCCCCAGGTGAGGGTGATGTTTCTGTG